CCCCCTGCCGTTCCGCCCGGGCCTCCAGCTGCGGGGCGGGGCCTGGGGGCATGAGGGTTTGTCTGTGTCTGGCGACCCCACCCAGCCTTTCCCGCTTGCCGCGTTCCAGTTGGTGACTGCCACTGTCGTTTATCTCTGGACTCCACCCCAATTTAACCCTATAGCGCCAGTACGCAGGGGGGTTGGGGGGGTGGAGGAGAAGGAGGGGCAAGCTAAGAAGAATTTGGGAACCTTGGAAAGAAAGTAGAGCAAAGAAAAGTAGACAGAAGCTAGCATTAATAGAAATGTTTGCAATTAACTAGAGTTGTTAATAACATCATCCAGTACTTATCTGTTGCTTCCAATCTTCAAAGCGTTTAACAGACGTTAAACTAATTAAAACAGTTCTGGGTTTGGAATGAAACCATGCCTGCTGTGTTTGCAATCCAATGGCTCGACAAAAGAAAAGACGACCCAGGAGTCTGGGAGCCAAAGGAACTGGGAATGGGGTGGGACTCAGGCAGCCACACTCCTGAAGTGAATCTGGCGGTTCAATCTAAGTGATGGAAAAGCCGACCCGTGCCAAGCGGAACTGAAGTGACTTTGCTCCGTGAAGGGTAAAAGAGTCTCCTAAGATTTCTTGATATTTTAATTAATTAATTAATTATGTATTGATCTCTTTACAATGCAGAAACAGTGCAAAAAAGAAAAACCACTGCAATGAGAGAATCCACAGCCAGAGTAGTTTCTCTTTTTCCACCGCAGCAGGAGTTCTCAGTGGAGAACATGTGCCTTCAATGAGTGAATGGGGCCACTGAGGGCCAGAATGAGGTGAACTTTTACAGGGGTGGTCCACAGAATGGCCAGACACTATTGGCATCACTATTGCAGGCAACTGTTCTGGCCTCTCCACCCCTCCCATTCTTCCCCTGGAGTACTCCCTGGGGTAAGTTCAACAAGTCAGCCAAATGCTCCAGATGTACACTGCTGCAACTGCAGCATCTTCAGCAGCTGCACCAATCAGAAACAGGTTCAGAGAAAGAAAAAAAAAAAAAGTAGCAAATGTCAGAACAATAGACCCCAAAATGAAGGACGAAAAGTATTACTTAAGTCAAGAGTCACAATTGACGAGTTACTAGTCTGAGGTTACAGAGAGCTCAATGACCATAACAGGAGAAACATGTATGCTTCTTAGTCACTATGCTCTCTCATTCCCATGTTATTAATTGAGAAATGAATAATTAGCAACTTCACTGACTTGAAGTAAACATCTTGAGTGTGACCAAGGAGGCTCAGTGATGACCAGGAGCACTTACAGATAGGCCTAAGACATAGACTGATGGGAGATAAGGAAAACAGAGAGGGAAATAGAAAAGAAGATAAAAGAAGAGAAACAACAAAACCAAACCCAATGCATATGGTGGGGAGGTCTGTCCAGAGAGCACAGAGGTCATAAGTCTTAAATATATTAGCCACAGACAACTTTTCTTCCATACACTTTGTGAATGCAAGTGCTTCAAAAACATCTTTGTGTCCTCCCTTTAACCCTTACCCATGAAATATAAAGTTTGCAAAGAATATCATCATTATAAAGATAATAAGAAAAGGCATTTAACAGCTGCTCTCAAGTCCTACTTGTCCAGTCCAGGAATTCTAGATGCTAGAAAAACTGCCAGGCTGATTTACCTTAATTATCACAGCCCAGGATTATTAGGAAAAAATGCTAGAACAGTAATTAGGAGACCTGACCTTGCCACTAGTTTGCTGGGTCACTCTGAGCAAGTCACTGTGCTTTTGGGGGGCCTTAGTTTCTTCAACTGTAAAATGAGGATTTTGAACTATAATAGCTATTACATTATGTTTTATTGGTGTTATCACTGGCTATGTTGACTCTGTTGTATACAGTTTAAAGAAGCTGCCCCTTCTTCCTCTGCAACAAAAAGAGAACAAATGACAGCCACCTTCCAGGTGGTGGTGATGCTCAGAGGCCATACTGGTGTCAGCTTACCATGTTCTCCCAGGCTTTTAACAGCTTGACTGAGACCCTTGGTTGCACCAGTGCCCTCAGAAGCCCTGGGAGTTGCATTTGACCTGGGACCTCACTTTGGTTCTCCAAAAGAACATTTGGCTTCATATGCAGTAGGAATGTTGGATTGGGGTAATCCAGTGAGGAATGTATGTGGTTATTTTTTTTAAATGTCCTAAAGTGTTGCTTCAGTTAGTTTCCATGCTTCCATGAGTACCCTATCCCCTACAGCACAGGTCTGAAAATTAAAACCTACAGACGACATCCAGCAAAGAGATGGGTTGTACCTGGTGCAGTATTAGCTAAAACTTTGAATTAAAAAGAAAAAAATCCGTAGGCCAACATTTAGAAATCTTAAGTTTTCACATTTTAAAAATCCAGATTTCCCGCTTTTCTATAAAAAATCAGGAGACCTGCTAACACTGAATCCACATTCCCATATGGGTACATTCAACTAAAACCGGCCCCTTGAAACAGGCATGAACAATCAAATTTCACATAGCCATCCCATCTCTTTCCTCTAGTCTTCAATACTGTCCTTGTCACTCATTTACTTTACTGGTCTGACCCCATATACTACAGGAGACAAGACACTAGCTCCTTAGCATGATCTGTAATCTGCTCCAACATTATTTTTCACCATCCTACAAGGAAGCCATGGTCCCACAGTACTAAATTCACGGACGTATCTCACACCTCCGTGTCTTTGCACAAGCTGGTTTCTTTGCCAGGAATGCCCCCATCTTGAAAACCTGATAAATTATTCAAGAATCAACTCATATGTTCTCTCTGGTATGGCCCTACAACTCACTCCAGACAGATCTTTTTTTTATGCTTTCATTGCACCTTGAGCATAACTAGTTGATATCACTTACCCCACTGTACTGTGAATGTTTCACATGCCTTTCTCACCACTAAATTGTGAGCTCCTTGATGGCAAGAACCATGTCCTCTCCATTTTGGTATTCCCAATACCTAGCATAGCACCTACCACATAGTAGTCATCAGTATTTTTTGTCACATAAGTAGGGCATAAAGTCAGCTGTGGCAACCTAGACTACGTGGAATTCCAAAAAGGGAACTTATAAAGCACCTCCCAGGTGCAGAGCTATATAACACATTAGGAAAAGATACAAAGGAGATAGAACCAAATGACAATTATGCAATTACCCTCTTATTTGTGCTACTGTGGGAGTTGTGGATAAGCCAGAAAAGTAAATAACCCAGAAATTCAAATATAATTGGTTTGTAGTACATCGCTGACCATTCTGTCCCATCAAGTTTCCCTTATTACTTTTGTTTGTATGGGCCTAATATTAAAAAAATACTAGTTAGCAATTCCTGAATAACAAATATTCAAAATAAGTCAACAACCCTTGAATACCCACCAATTCAGTAGAATATGCTAAGGAGTTGGGCAGGGACTTGTTTTAAATACCTCTTAGCTCCGGTTAGTCCACAGAACTGAAAGAATTGACATAGTGACTCTGACCCACTTAGTGATAAGCAGACAGTTGGAAGGAACATGGATTTTGGACTCAGATCCTGGTTTAAATCCCAGCTTATTTACTTACCACCTGTGTGACTTAAGACAAGTGGTTTTTGCTTGTCTTACAGAGCCTCAGTTTTCTCATCTGTAAAATGGAGATGACAATATATACTTTGTAAGATAGCTGTGCTTAGACAGGGTGTGTAGGAAAGGGAAGACTTTCCCTCTACCTCTGAGCGTTTGATAGTTGAGTCTATGAAATAAACTGATGGCAGGTAGATTAACAGGAGAAAAGACAATCAAAGTTATTATGGAATCCAGCTGCAATTAAGCATACTGCGTCACCGCCCCGGGTCTTAGCCAGGGTCCTGAGGTACAGAGCTGGGGGAAGCTGAACCCTGCCACAATCAGGTAAAGAGCACACCAGAAACACCATTTCCATGCAGGTAGTCCATCATAGCCACCACAATTGCCATTCTGCTGCAAAAGCAGCTAGTCTCTTTAGCAGCAGTCGCAGCCAATGTGCAGATGACATGCCAGACTCTCAACTGCATTGACACAAGGAGAGGCACCAGTGGAGACCAAAAAAAAAAAAAAAAAAAAAAAAAAGAAGAGGTCCCCTCTCTCCACAAAGCACATTCCAGAGTAACAGAAGAAGCATCTGCTTT